ACTATGTAATTTGTTACACAAAAAAATTTGCCATGCAGATCATATGATAAATGATCTACGTATACTCTACCCTTAAAATAATCTGAATTAACTCAATCAAAAAATATTAGAGTGATTTTTCTAGCAAAGATCTATAGATAATTATATTATACTAATATATGAATATACATGTTTTTAGTTACTAATTTACAAATTTGAACACATATATGAACAGAAAAAATTCTAAATTACATTTTTGATATAATCTTTATAATAATTATACAAATTATCAAAAAGTAACTATAGTGCATAACATCTAATTACATCAAAAATCTTCAAAATAAAATAATTAAAAATAATATAATTAATATTCAGAAAAACTTTCTATAATTTATTCTTTATACTTAAAAGAATATTATAAAATAGTTTTTTTAAAAAAATTATTTATTATTAAGTTATTTTATCTTCAAATTACTATTAGTTTAAAAAATTGTAGCACTATTATAAAAAAACTAATCTTATTTATAAAAAATTTAACCAATTAGATTTATTTTTATAAGTAATTATAAAATATTTGACCAATCAAATTCATTTTTATAAGTAATAATCTGCAAAATTTTCAGCACCCGTGATGTCTTTAGATGTCTTGCATTTAGTGTTTAAAATTAACATATACAAGATGTACATATACAAGAGTTTTTCTCAATATGCAAGAAGTTTATAAAAAATTTATGCATATGAGCAAGTTTTTAAGAAAAAAACTGCACAAAATAAATATAAATTATAAAAATTATATTTGTGCAAGTAGAAAAATAAAAATTTACTTGCATACTGTGCAAGTTAAAAAAATTTTTTTTATGCAATTGTGCAAGTAACTTTCATTTTGAATTTTAAACACTGCTTGCACTATATTTCTGTATTTGGTCACAATTAATGATGCCGTAGAATCGTCCCAATGATAGTCGTCACATTGCTGTAACTTGCCGTAACTATAGTAAATAATATAGAAAGTTACGGCAATAATGCCGTAACTTTTTATATTATTTACTATAGTTACGGCAATGTGACGACTATCATTGGGACGATTCTACGGCATCATTAGTCACAATGCATCAAAAGACGTAACTTTTATATCACCTTCACATGATTACTGCGTCATATTTGACTCTGATTTCAGGATGAACCAAAATAATAAACTATGTCCAAATCTAACAATAATACTGAAACAGATGGCGATTTTTATCCTGGACGTGCAGGTAAAGGTCTTAAATATACTAATTCAGATGTTCATAAGAAATATGATTAATTGTATAGCTCTTTGATAGCTCTCGTGAAGTACCTGACAGAGTCTAATCCTGAAGACTGGTCCTACATAGATTTTTTAACACTAAATAGTGTGATCCTTATCGATATACCACCGTTTTTAGACAGTTGGAATGCTCTTGATGGTACGTGGACCAGAAGATTCCTGCGCGAAGTGATAGAGATAGACCGAGATTTATACAAGGACATAAAAAATAAGGTAATTTCGTTTCAATTAAATTGTGGAAAGGGAACCCCTGATCAGCTACCTCCTGATTCAGGGGTATCAGCTACCTCCTGGCCCAAGTGTTGGTGATGGAAACTTCTGATCAGCTACTTCCTGACTTCAGAAGCATCAGCTACTTCCTGGTCCTCACCTTCGCGATTCCACTTGCTCCCGTTTTGTTTGAATAATTGAGGTTCCGGATCAGCGAAGAATATAGCCTTCTAATTGTTTATTTCATTACCACAAGGTGGATTTAGAGCATGCCGACTTAACTATATGTCATTTTTGGGAAGAGGTGATATCAAAAAGGAATCGAGTAAGATCACTGGTATTTTCGGTTAAGTTAGTATTGTATATCTTTTAGTAAATGTCTTTAATTTTCTTATAGCTTAAGCTTAGAAAAGATCTTGATGCTGAGAGTATCGAACTATTAAGAATATCAAGCAAATTCCAGTCACAAAAGGTTCAAAAAGATTACAATGATCTGATGAAGTCTTCGTGTGACAAGCATCGCTGAATCTCATACCGTCAGACGAAAGTGGAGACGATGATCCATCGTTAACATTGGTTAATGATGATGAAGATGACGAAAATGACAATGTTCCTGATCCGAATGAAATTCCCGATTTATCCCCTAGCAACCTGCAAGGGTGGAGTCTTCCTTCAGGTAGATCTGTTGAAGATATCTTCGCAATGAATGTGTCTATAAATTCCAAAGCATATCGACAGAAGAAAAAGCAGACATCTATAGAAAAGGCAACCTTACGATACAGTGCCTCAAAAATAATAGATTTGTCCGCACATATGAGGGCTTGGTTTTCTCCTACTGATAGGCAATTTATGACCAAAAATTATGAGACGTTGCTTACAGTCCCAGAACTGCCCGATGATGTCAACACGTTTATTTTAGAAGTTGAAGAGGTAAATACATTGGCTAGATTTTTTGTTGTTGTTTATTCTTTATTTTATACTGTACGTTTATTTTATAGATGGTGCGCCAAGGCAATTCAGATGCTGCCTTCAAGCTATGTATTGAAAATTATGTTAGTTCACCGATTAATAGTTGTATTAGCAAGTTCAGTAAAATTTACAGCGATTTGTGAGTATTCCCTTTTTCAGCCTGTCCTAAGCTGTCCGCAAATTCTAATTCATTATGTATATATAATTATGTATATATAATTATGTGTAGTTTTTACAAGACCATAGATGGAAACGATATGCTAGAATGTGATTCAATAGGACACACGGAAGTTGATATTATTGTAAAAACATTCTCATATATCGTAGATGGGTTGAACAAAGATCTTGGGATACATCAAAAATGGCAAGTTAACGTATCTTTTCAGCTTTTGTGTCTTAATTATCTTATAATTTTCGTCTTTGTGTATTAGGGGCGAATCATTTTGCCCTTTAAGCAAATCTACAAGTTACACTAAAGGTAGAAAATGTGATGTACGTTTCTTGTCCTCATCTGGAATGGACCTAGGAGAGTGGGAATTTTCTGTGCGTGCCACTGCTAATAAAACAATTTCTGATCGATGTCGTTCTGGCCGTATCAACCAATCAATTTTAAATGGTTTACTGAGGCTCGACTGGAAAGATGAACAGATAAAACTAGTAAAAGTACCTTTTGTACAGTTCGCTGGGGTTAATGGTCAGATGCTGATAGAAGTTTTGATGAACGGGTTCTACATAATATTTCCGGGACCAAAATTTCAGCTACCCACTAAGCTTGCTCAGATTGAAAAGCTAAAGACAACCGTAAAGGTTACCAAATATATTATGGTATGATTTATTATTGTTTTTCTTTTCTCATCAGAAATGCTTATGTATCTAATCATTTATATAGGAAATGTATAAAGAAACTAGCAATTTAATCAATAATCTAGAGATCGGGTATCATACGTTTGATGATATTTTTAAGGTCGATGAGCCTGACACGAGTATATCTGCATATTACAAATCTAGCATTTGCGATCCTTGGTGGACTCCAAAAAAAACTAAGAATCATAATAATAATAATAAGTGATAATTTTGTCTCTCAACTATAATTTTTTTGTAATCTTGGTTTTTCACTCACTACCTAATAGTTAATAAAACAATCAGTATAGCTTATACAATGGGATGTAATGCAATCGTAGTTTGGCTTTTGTTTTATTGTTCGCTTTAACATGTATATGTTGTGCCTCAGATCCTTTCCCGCGTCAGATCGAAGATGACGCACCTCAGATGCCGATCGTCAGGTGAGGTGCGTAACTTGTAGATCGGTCACTTGAGGTGCCTCAGTTGTAATATGAGGCACAAATTAAAAATATAATCGTTTTTTTTTTATTTCAAATGTAGTACGTACGTTCGTAATTTAGCAAATTTATTGCACCACGTAAACTAATTTAAAAGCACATCAAGCAATATATTTTATTTATTTATTATTGCTTTATATATTAAATTAAAAATTAAATACTAATTTTTATTCGAACAGGACCGCCCACCATGACATCGGCTTGTGCATTTTCCTTCGACCTTTCTACATCTACACCTATTAGTATCACACGAACCCTTACAACTGCAAATAGAGCTCGATACCATTCCAACACTTTGGAGCCTTGACGCCTCTCGGGTGGATATGTTGCCCGGTGGAATTGTATCAAGTTCAGGGTAAGTTGAAGTTCCAAGTTCTTCGAGTTCACCAGCGGAATAACATACATTGATCGTGCCAAATTTACATCCTAGCCGGAATTGTTGCTCACCAGTTTCTTCTAAAATTTTACAGGGCAAAGAGGGGTGATCGATACTAAACCGATCTATCTTTGGAATGCTTATCCGAACAAGGTCCCCAACCTTAAAATTATTTAATTTCCTTTTCTTCAATATTTGCTTAGTCATCTTTTCGGTATATTGTTGAAGATCTTTTCGAGCAATAGTTCGTAGAATTTCATGTCGCATAACATTAGCGTCTTGCTTTGTAATATCAGCTAGAACTGAATTCGGAGGTTGGTCTGAAGAATTAAATTCTATTACACAATAAAACAAAGGCTAAATTTAAGTTACTTAATAAATACCATTGGTGTTGGCATCGGTATCGGCATCGACATCGAAATCAACATCGAAATTGGCATTGGCATTGGCATCGAAGTTGGCGTTGGCGTTGGCATCGGTGTTGGTGTTGGCATCAGCGTTGGCGTTAGCATTGGTGTTGGCATCGACATTGTTCAAAGGATCATCAAAATCATTAGGTTGGTTCGGATCTTGATCTAATAGATTATTATTAGTAAAAACATAATAAACGAATAAACAAATAAATCAATTTAAAAAAAAAACAAAAAAAAAACATGCTTTCCATATCGTCATCCAAATTTAATGTATCGTCAATTTCGATCTGAACCGTATTTGGAATGTCCTCTTCATTATAAAATTTTTTTCCATATAATTCATTCACCAAGGTACTGTTTCCATGCGGCTTACAGCCATAAACAAGTTCAAATGGTGTTTTTTTATGAGAGCAACACCATGAATTATTCATCACCACAACAACAAATTTTAAGCCAAATGACCAGTCCTTACGACCGGTATTTTCTTGCCATTTTCCCAATTTTTGCTGCAAGATTCCATTTGCTCGTTCAACGAGCCCTTGTGATTGGGGGTGGCGGGGCCTTCCATTTATGATAGTTACAGATGGCCATAACTCAATCAGTTCCTTAATAACCTGGGTAACGAACTCCTTTCCATTATCCGACTGTAGAATCATCGGTGATGATCCAAGTGAATGAAAAAGTTCAAAGAGGTACGCCGCAACCTCGATTGGCCTTTTGGAAATAAGGGCTCTCGCCCAAGAGAACCTGGTGAAGTGATCCCTCAAATGACAAACGTACTTAAATTCTTCATCCGGATCAAAAGATAAGTCAATTAGATCCATCTGTAAAATAAATAAAATTAAAATTAAAATTAAAATTAATTAAAAATATAAAACAAAATACGTATAAATCCAAAGCAGGTGATGAATTACTTGGATGCGCGACAAAAAATTATTAGCTATTATCGGCTTGGCTGCAAGAGGGTGGAACGCAGGTTTACGAACGGCGCACACAGCGCAATTATTGACAAACTTTTCGATAATGTCCTGCTTGATCCAGCTCCACCTTTCACGCACAGACTTCCACGTCTGTTTTTGTCCCCCATGTTGTGTAACCTCACCATGAATTTGACAAAGGACTTCATAAAATTTCTCTCTTACTAAAACGGGGTTACCCGTCTCTTTTTCAATTATTCTATGATCGCCTGGTGTGATCTCTTCAAGCCGGAATTTCCTTTTGGCCCAGCTGCGAGTGTTTTTATTATATAATGTGTGGTCTTTAGGGTTTAATAAAATGGTTTTTATTTTTATTAAAAGTTCATAGTTGATTAAAGCTTTTTCGCGCTTTGATTCAGGTAGGTTAAGTATATAATTATTTACGATTTGTTCTAGGGTGCTTTTACTGATGAAGGTGTATTCCATATTTAATGAAGGTTAAACGGCTCAACAAGCCCAAGAAAGGTAAATTTTTTTTTTTTTTTGTAAAAGCCAAGAGGCCAAAAATAAACGAAGCCTAGGCAAAAGACTTATATACTCATTTGGCTCCGACCAAATTACGTTCAATTGCTTGAATACGTCTTTGAAACGTTCTTACGACCATTTACTATCATTTACTATCATTTACTACGTATTTAATGATTATCCATCGCTATCGCTATTGTTAAATGATTATCTGCGTCATATTACGGTTTGAGGCACCTCAAGTGACCGATCTACAAGTTACGCACGATCGGCATCTGAGGTGCGTCATCTTCGATCTGACGCGGGAAAGGATCTGAGGCACAACATATATATATCGTGACTGAAGTTGGGATTTGACAGAAGTTGGCACCTGCCTAAAACAGCTAACTAATGCGTGCAGGATGATCTAATTTCAGGTGCTAATTTTAGTCAGGTGCAACTTCAGTCAACTGAAGTTCCAACTTTAGTTGGATCTAGAGCTTTCCGAAACTAGTTTCGGGTAGGTTTCGTTTCAACTCTAATCCGAAACTAGTTTCGGATTTTTTAAAAAAAACCGAAACCACGAAACCCGAAACCCCGAAACTATAATCCGAAACCTCAAACTATAATCCGAAACTTTAAAAATTCTAATATATTGAAATTTATTTCGACAGTTCTACTTCCCGACACTTTTACTTATTTCCCTAACACATATATATATACTGTATACTATATGTTCTATACATATTTCATAAATTCTGGGACGTCTGATAAAAAGTTAGCTGGATAAATATTATACTTTTGTTCAGAGACATGTAATATTTTCAAAATTCAATTTTTGAAATAATTTGAGATTTATTGGCTATAATAATTCCATTTTATTCTATTTTATTATTAATGAAAGTATTCCCCGTTCTATCATTGTAATGTTGACACATTCAACATTATTAAACTTTCGTTTGAATACTTGTTTAGCATATTTGGTGTGTTTAGTTGTGCGAAAGTTTATGAGAAAGGCAGTTTTGTTAAAAAATAAATCTTGACAAGAATTAAAAAAAGGCTCCAGATATAAAATGGACTTTTATCATAAACATACCACACGAATAGGTGCCAATATTAAAAAAAAAAGCCAGACATATTATCAAGAATTCGTCAACTGGTTTAAAATGTAACTCAAGATTCTAAAAAATCGATAAAGTGCTGCGAAAGCTTTTCAAAACGTCCATATCTTTGAAAACCGACCTATAGAAGATTGCTAACACCTAAACGTTTGGCAATTTTTTGAATCAATAAGTATTCTAAATTTTTTCAATCAAAGTTTTGAAGTTTCGAGCTTCGGAAGAGGTTTCAGAAGGAATTTCAGGTTTCGGAAGAGGTTGTCGGGTTTCGGATAGGGTTTTGGGTTTCGGGTGAGGTTTCAAGTTTCGGATGAAGTTTCGGAAACTATAATCCGAAACCCGAAACTTTAGGATTTGGCAAAAAAAGGTTTCGGTGACCAACTCTAGTTGGATCCCGGATTTACTTATTTTGTGCTGGTAATACAACCCAAAAAAGAAAATTTAATTTTGTAAATAAACAAAGTGCGTAAAAACACAAATTTAGGGTTAGGAAGTTACCGTTAGAAGCCATAGCCATAGACTATTGCTCATTATATATAAAATTTC